TAGCTGTCCCAGAAGTAGACAATCTAGCACTTGAAGTAGGAACCTGCTTTCCATTGACGGATTGGGGATGCTGCATCACCATGACTGGTTCTCTCATTGATCCAGACTGCAGGTTCTTCAAAACATTTCCAGCAGCCACACAGCATGCTTCTGTCTTGGTTGCTGGAGCTGAAGCCTGCAAAGGTGGTGCTAACGACTGGGAAACTGGAGGATTTGATCCTGCTTTTGGCCACCTCTTCTCTGTTGGCATGGCAATCTGTTGCAATTTGGCGCAATCCATTTTTGGTTGTATTTTCTTAGATATCTGCATACTTTTGCTTCCAGGGTCCACCAACGAAACAGCGGCAACTGGAACTTTGGTGTCATTTAAATCTTTATCATCCCTTTTCAGTTGTACAGTATTAAGTATATTAGATTTTGCTAGTGGCCTCATTGCATTCTGACTAATAGCCAATGGTGGTTTGCCATTGACTACAGTAGGAGGATAAACTGTTTCTTCTGACTTTGGAGGGGTAGAAGGGGGCTCCTGCTTCTGTGCCTTCAATGTTTCTTCTGCCTTCTCAAGATCACCCTCACAGGTGACCACAATTCTTTCAACCTCTTGCTTGGAGGTCTTGTACCTAATTTCCATGTCTGCAATACGAGCAAGCTCTTCCAATATGTCTATTTTCAAATTAGCCCCACAGTCAAGATTCCGTTCCCTCTGCTTGTCTTCTTCACCTCCTTCAAAAAGCCATGCAACTGATTCCTCTACTCTGCCTTCATTCAGAATAAGAGCCATTGTTGCCCTTTCCTGAGAGAAACCCATAGACACAAGTTGTTGTGAAAGAGCTTCTAGCTTCCTCGACATAAGATAGCCACTACATCGCTCATGTAGTTCTTGAGCTCGCCTCTCTTTTTGTCGCTGATGTTTTCTCTCGTTCTGTTGACGGATTTTTTCTCGTTTGTCATTGTCAGCTCCAGGCACCGACTCTTGACGCAGCGGATGATGAGATGGATTCTCTTTATGGTCTTCTGATTCACCAGACCAGCTACCATTATTGGAAACAGAATCATACTCAACGCCAGTCCCAAATGAGATCCCACTTTGATCATCTGTCTCGTCTATGTTTCCATAGCGACCATTCACATGAAGTGGACCAAATGAGGAAAGCGGTGCTGTATCAAATGTATGGAATGTTCCCAAAACAGGATTGTATCCACTTGCTGGAGCCCCAACAGTGACATTAGCATGACCAGAAGTCTTCAAAGAACCCTTCAGAGGTTCCTTAACAGACTTTCTGTCTTTGGACTTGGATCTGGATGCTGGAGACATATCCTCTGGTTGAGCTGCTAATAAATGCAACACCAGTGGCTAAGATATCCATTGGATACAAATAAATGCCAGCAAAAGTAAACCAAGCACAGATGTACTGATAGTAATACTTGTCTATTCCATTAACTTACTGTTATATACTACAGAAAACCCCATTATTAACGAAAATAGAAAAAAAAGATAAGAAACTGCAATATTTCCACAACTGCTACTGGAAGCATCTTTTATGGCAACAATGTCCATACCAAAACAAAGAACAAACAATGAGGTCATATTTTGCGTCTGATGATGAATATATTATATATGGGTCAGGTAGGGGGATAGAGAGGAAAATGACAGGATGAGGAAGTTGGTGGGAGTGGGGAACAGAGCAATCACACCAAATAAAAAATCAGTGTATGCAGTGATGCATAATTGAAATGCCTTTATTCGACCTTTTCGATTATAGTACTCCAGGCAAAAAACATGTCCTGGATACACACATGGACATATATCTCCAGAAAAAAAGATTATCTCTTTCATAATTTCTTCAAGTGGAACGAATTAATTCTAAGTGGCGTCCTATCCCATTTGATCAGGAGTGGGTGTATGTTGATGCCTATAAAGCAAAGTTTGGTAGATGACATTTGCTAGGAGACAAATTTAGAAATTTAAACCACCAAATTAACATTTGCAAAAGAATAGAACTCATTCATTGACAAGAATGGAGAATATTGCCATTTAAGTCTCAAATAACTAAGGCGCTTTCTACCAAAAAACGTCTCATTATCTATTCTTATGCCATCACTTTAAACACAAAAGAAGAAAACAGCCGATCTGGGAGGCCGGGATTGATCACAGAGGCAATAAGGAAAGGAAAAGTAATAGGACAGCAGATGACTTTCTTTTGAGGTAAATTTCATAATGACATGAAATAATATGAAAACAATTCTAAGCAGGACTTATAATGGAGCCCAAGACCTATAAATTATTGATTAAATGGATAATACCCGTAAATGCACTACTAAGAACCCAATAGATAAACATAATCGTATAAACCTAAGATGTCGTCGATTGCCAAAAAATGTCATAGCATCTCAATTACTTCCCAATTCATACCCATCTACAATGATCACAAAATCCATGACAAATTTTTTGATCTTCCACAGTCCTGTCAGGGTTCCAAGAAACTTTTGTGCCCTAATAGTGCATACGTGAATAAAATCTTTTGTCATAATTAATACAAAGTTCTCCATTACTGTGAAGTTTATGACCTATTAACCGGCTTTGATCTAATGCCCATGGTGGGCATGGGTTATAATGCCCACCTTGGACATGGCAACACAGGATGCTGCCACGCCCACAGTGGCCCACGGTGGGCATTAGATCATTTTTGGACCTATTAAATTCAACGGAATTTAATTATCTAGAAAAAGACAAAATCTATGTTTACCATAGATAACACAAAATCCACGTCATTTGTAATTTTCCCTCAGCAGATTCATTCACCAAAAATGACATATCATAATTAGGAAGACCAAAGTAAACATCTAATACATCTACCAGTTTGTTACCTCCTTCGTCTTATGGTCACCGATTCGCTTCTTTCAACTTTTAGCCTTGCGCTCCTTCCTCACTTCATTTAAAATCATTAACTATAAATCATTTTCCCAAGTACCAATTTCTTTCGTCTAAGTTCAATTATTTATTCACAAAACATTAATTCATTGTAATACTAACATCCAAACTCTTGACTCAAGAAAAAGAGAAAGAAAATGCCCTTCTTGATGCTGCTAATCTAAATTAAATTAATTCCACAGGAAATCCAGTCCCAATATTGGCAACATAAAATTCCTAAACTAAAATTCTCGGAATACAACACAACATTCCCATCTAAGTTAATATCTTTGCCCCAAGGAAAAAAGGGCTAGTATATTCACATAAAGGCACGTAACAGATTATCACACGAAATCAAAAGCACAAAAAAAATCCTGGTAAACGTCAAATTAGTATATTCATTTGTATAAACATCAAGTGGAAATCCACAGGCAGATCAAGAAACAGAAATGGCCATTCAAAATTCAACTAAACCAAGAAATCCACAGAAAGATTAATCAAGAATTAAAATTACAACAAATTAATGCCCATCTCAAACCTTAAATCCCCGAACCAAAAATAAACTTAAAAAGATAAATTTAAAAAATAGATATCCCTGACCACCAACAATAGATCAAACAGAAAAGGGATTAGAGTGGGGCCTTTCACCTGTAACAGATCGATCGATAGAGAAATCGCTCGGTGTTCAATTTAGGATTGAATTTTTGTTTTATGGAAATGGAGAATTGGATTTAGTTCTGGAGACGGATGAATATATGAGAGAGGGAAAGAGAAGGGGCATAGGGGAGAGAGTGATAGGTAATCAAGGCTAAAAATTGAAACATTTCGGTCAAATGGAATGGAAAAGTTCAACTATTGTCCCTCAATCTATTACACTGATAGTGACTTAAATCTCAAATCTTTGAAAAGGGAAAAATTGTTTTATTATAATCGTGTAAAAATAATGTTATTTACTATCGCAGTCGTCTTACGCGGCACGCATGTATGACTGTGTTAAAAAATAACTAATTAATATCAAAATTACCTTAACTTTTCAAAAGCCCTACCAAGTAGGTTCTTATTCTTCCACGAGTCTACATTTTATAATTTACGAATTTATCACTCGTTTGATGCCCTTTAAAAAGAATTTCTTTTGGAAAAATACATTTGGAATAGTGATTTTTTTTAAGAATGTTTGGTTCAAAAGTTGTGAAAGTTTTCTGAATTTATATGTAAAATATTTTATTGTGAAAACATGTGGTTAAAAATGAAGTTTAGAAAAAAAATAAATTGTATAATAATAGATAAATAGGGGCTTAATTTTTAAATTAGTAATCTCCTCATGGAACCAAAACATATCGAGATAAACAAATCAAAATTAAAATATGAACGAGAAACAAAGCTCGAGACATATTAGAAAAGGCAAATTCCTTCGAGTTTTTCAAACAAAACATATTAAACTCTTGTTTGATGGAGATTAAAATTAAATATTTAGTAAATTTTGATAAAAATTAATAAAATGTGTTGTTGAAAAATTGTATATTCCATGACATATGTGATTAAAATTAATCATTAACTTTGACTTAAATAAAACAAAATTTTAATTCCTAAAATTTATATTTTTAACTACTTTTTGAAGAAAATTAATTAAATATTTAATTAAAAATTGTGAATTTCATAAAATGTAAAATTAAAAATAAATTTTGAAATGAATGAATTTTTAGAAAATATGGGTCAAACAAGAGTTAAAGAAATTGAGAACACGGGGCACATCTTATCAAGTTTGCCCTTACATTTACATATATTCATAAGCAAATATTCAATAGTTCAGACGGCAAGATAAATAATACGTCTCTCTTCAATTTCGTAGATTTTTTTATAAAAGTTGATAAGAATAGTGTTATAGGTAAAGAATTTTTCTATCGAAAAATTCTACTGACAACATTTAGTGTGACATCATTGAAATATGGAAAAAAAAAAAAATTAGTCCAATTAATTTTGTCATACTAAGTACAAATTTTGTTAAAACTTTTTTGTAGTCATAACTTTATTTTTCGTCCAATTACTTTGTAGTCGACCGAATAAAACTTTATTAACATCTACATGTTTCCTAAGACTTTTTCAAAATGATGAGAAAAGTGAAGACAGACAAAAAGTCTGAAATACCGAAAAAATACGTTGTCTGTACCATACCAACCAGGCGTGTTTTCGTGTGAAACCAAAAGAACCGCACATATCCAATCCTTCCCCCACTCTCTCTCTCTTTCCAACAGTCCATCTGAACAGTGCTCCTGGTATCTTACGCTCAGATCTTTTGAAATTTTTTTAATGTTTGAACTTACTCTAAATTGTTTTCAATTGATTTCTTATTTTTACACGCGTATTTATGTCCGTGGGTTTATGTTCTTGATTCTATTAATTGGGGGATTATAGTAATGCGAATGAGTTAGGGAAGCATGAAATTGAAACCAGAATTTTTGTTGGAATTCTGCAAAATTTTAGAAAATTATTGTTAATTTGACTTTGATTGACTTGATATTTCTTAGTCAGAATTCCTTTTTTAAGCGTACTTTGGCGAATAACACTGTTTTGATTTCTCAATTATTCGCATGATTTGGGGAAGCATAAACGAAGAAAGGAAAGAAAGATCCACCCCATGTTATTTTTGGTTTAATTCTTGTTAATTTTAGTTTCTTGATTTTTCTCACCTTAATCTGAGAATTTATATGTGTATTTTTGGTGAATATTACTGATTTAATTTTCGTGGTTAATGGATATGCTATAGATTAATAGTTAATACAAATAATCAAACTAAGCTTTGTAAGGTTTCTTGATTATGGGTCTGTGATATGTATTTTCACTTATTTTTTGCATACACATAAAATTCACTGCATTTTATTAGCAAATATATCGAGTCAATTACTCTTTTGTATCTTTGGCGGAGTGAGATATGAACAAATGCATATAAAAGAAAAGACTCACTTCAATTTACCAAAAGAAAAGGGAAAACTGGATGAGTGGAGAGTTTAAGAAAATGATATTTGAAGTTAACACACAAGTCGTGACCTTGTTATTCTTGTTTATCTTTTGCACAAGACTAAAACAAAGAAAAGAATTTCCTCTTGTTTTATTTCTCTTCGTTCTCGTTCTCTCTTTTTTGTCCAAATGAAATTTTAGGGTATTTTATTTTTTATTTTTTTTGCAGATAAATATGTTTGGTTGCTGTGTTCACTTTCTTTGTTGTGATGTTATATTTTGTTATGTGTTTCCATACTATTTCTAATACAATTTACTCATGAGTTACAATCAAATAGAGCTTATTTTAGGTTTCCGTTTTTATCATTTTCCTCTGATTTGTTTGAACATTTATCTCAAGGCTTTTGTGATATCATATTATGAACTTTTGTATTCTGTGTTTATGCATCAAAAGAATTTTTCTTTCGTTAAGCTGCGCTTTATATTTTGTCCATAACTTTGGTACCATTCACTTCAAAGATAATACCCGTCTTTCAGGGTTTCTTTTGAGATCTGAAACTCAACTACAACCTATTTATTTATTTATTATTAGTATCATTTTCCTCTGATTTGTTTGAACATTTATCTCAAGGCTTTTGTGATATCATATTATGAACTTTTGTATTCTGTGTTTATGCATCAAAAGAATTTTTCTTTCGTTAAGCTGCGCTTTATATTTTGTCCATAACTTTGGTACCATTCACTTCAAAGATAATACCCGTCTTTCAGGGTTTCTTTTGAGATCTGAAACTCAACTACAACCTATTTATTTATTTATTATTATTTTATTTTTATTTTTTGGGTTTTTTGTGCAAACGATACAGCTGTCATATTAATATTAGCAGTACCAAGAAGAAATGTCAAGCAGTGGAAATACTCATTGGTGCTACCAGTGCAGGCAGCCAGTTCGGCTTCATGGTAGTAATTTGACTTGTCCATCTTGTGATGGAGGCTTTGTACAAGAGCTTGACGAGGTTGTGGGTGCTCAACAGCAGGATTTCGTTGGATCTCATTCAGGAGATACATCTGATTTTGGAGTGATGGAACCGTTCCATGATCCAAGATTTGGGATCATGGATGCATTTGCAGCACTTATGAGGCAGAGAATGGCTGGGAGAAACCCAACCTTTGACATTAGGACGCGATCAGGCGTTAATCCTGAAAACAGTGTTGCCTTTGGTTCTGGACCTGCTGGTCCATGGTTGATATTTCATGGGCAATCACCTGCCAGCATGTCTGATAATAATGCATTTGAGTTCTTTCTCAATGGAAACCATGGAATGGGGCAGCGTCGAGGTGATTTTGGTGATATATTTATGGGGCCTGGACTGCAAGATTTGATTGAGCAGCTTACCATGAACGATAGGCAGGGCCCCCCTCCGGCACCTCGTTCTGCAATTGATGCTATGCCCACTATTAAAATTACTCCGAGGCATCTTAGTACTGATTCTCACTGCCCAGTTTGTCAAGATAAATTTGAGTTGGGTACTGAAGCTAGGCAGATGCCATGCGATCATATTTACCATTCTGATTGCATTACTCCTTGGTTGGTTCAACACAACTCCTGTCCCGTCTGCCGTCTTGAGCTGCCTTCACAGGGTTCTGGAAGTGCTCGTCCCAACTGGAATTCGAGAACTGGGAATGCAAGTGGCAGCAATAGTGCACACAACAGTGGGAGGGAAAATGTGCAGCATCAGGGAAGAAGGAATCCATTCTCATTCTTGTGGCCTTTCTGATTGTCAAATCTAAGCACTCGCCACTATGCTGAAGAAGGAGAAATTAGCTTGACAGCATCTAACAAAGATAATCGTGGGGGTAACTACCCTGGATGATATTTTGATTATTAAGGTTGTCTTTGCAGGAAACTTTCTCTCTTTGGTACTCTTTTTATTATCTGTTTCCTGTCATGTGCTCCTGTAATTAACTCCAATGTCGGAATCTGGCTCTTGATTTTAGCAAATATCTTGGCGAGATAGAGATGGTTTTATAAAATTGTCTTAAAGGATTAGTAAACTGAGCAAGGGTAGCCGAATACTATCTGCTTGTGTTTGTCTCCACATGTTGATATGTATCCAAGATTGGGTAGAATTCACCTGTGGTTACTGAAAGGGTGTTTGGTATGGATTAAAATTAGATTTTTAATAGATTTTGATAAAAGTTTTTGAAATGTGTTGTTGAAAGGTTGTAGGACCATGAAAAATGTGGTTAATATTGGTTATTTGACTTTGACTTAAATTAAAATCAGATTTTAATCCGAATCAAACAGGGGCTGAACTTGAAGAACTTATAATTTATTCATAGTGAAAACTACCGATAATCGCCCTACGTGACATATGCTGTCATGTATATATATCACGCAGGGCGACTGTCAATAGTATTCATGATGAATAGGATTATTATTTTATTTATTTCTGTTAGTAAAACTATCTGTAAAGTCTCGAGTGGTTGTTAATTGCTAATGACAAGCTGATATCGTAGTCTGTGTGGAAATTGGGGCAACTCGGTTGAAATTTTAGTGCATTTTTAGTGAGCACCAACATTTCTAATTTATAATTTAGTTGAAATTCATAGCTTTCATATTGATTCGGTTATACCCCTGTCAATATACTCTCTGAATTGGTTAGGATGATGAAGATTTCCTATTTAACAACAAACTATGGGATGTTGTCAATTCAATAAGAATTGGCTAGTTGAACTATTTTCTGGTTCATTCGGTTAGATCTATTCGGAGATCTAAATGATTTTATGTCCAATGGCATTACCTATTCTGTATAGAGAGAAGACTGCTTTGGGAATGACGACTGCAAAATGATTACGCCCTTGTTTGGTAGCAATTTTTTATCCCAAAAAATCAATCTTTTTTATTATTTTCTATTGTTATTCCACCATTTGAGCTCTCATTTTTTACTTTTTCCCTCACAAATGAGATTAACTTTTCTTTTTAACAGTCATATAATCAATTCTCATAATCACTACCGAACAAACCCTAAATAACTAAAGAAAGAACAAAGAGTCATTTACTTTCTACTAAGGTTGTCCATAAAACATATCAACAGTAAAAAGTATCAGATTATCCAACCAATACGAAATCCAAGCATATTTATCTGGTCTTTTTTTCTTTATTCTCTCTAGTCCTCTACTCATCTCACTGAGAAGGAGAGGAAACATAATGTCTGGGTAAACTGAAAATGTCTCTCTCTTCAAAAGGAGAAGTCCATTCTCGAGAGCCACCAGCAGTCGTTTGGGAAGAAGCTACCGTGTCCTGTAACCCAGGAATAAAATCACTATTTCCATTGGACAGAACGGGTCTTATAGCAGTCTTGATGCCTTGACCAGAAGTAATCAAATCATAAGCACGTGTACTGTTTCCCCTAAAGGCATTCTCACTAGGCCAGAACCCTCCAGGCCTAGACATAGACGACGCCCTATCCAAACTCCAGTCTATGTTGGTGTAATCTAACTGCAAGGTTGAACTGCCTGTTTTCCAGTCTACCAGGTATGAAGAACTAGACGAGCCATTGGTGCCAAGTCCAGAGAACAGTCCAAGGGAAGACGCTGGGGCCAGTGATGGAGATGTAGCTGATATACTCCACAAACCATTTCCCTGTTTAGTTCCTTGAGATTCCACTGATCCACTGCTTGACAAAAATTGCTGACGGGGTAGATAATTTAGTTGGTTATTGTACAATAGATTTGAGCTCATGTCATTGGGGTTCAGGCTTCTCGTGCCTGGAACAGGTAGCACTAACCCTTTGGACTTCACAGTTTCCACGCCATTATACCAATCCATAGCTGTCCCAGAAGTAGACAATCTAGCACTTGAAGTAGGAACCTGCTTTCCATTGACGGATTGGGGATGCTGCATCACCATGACTGGTTCTCTCATTGATCCAGACTGCAGGTTCTTCAAAACATTTCCAGCAGCCACACAGCATGCTTCTGTCTTGGTTGCTGGAGCTGAAGCCTGCAAAGGTGGTGCTAACGACTGGGAAACTGGAGGATTTGATCCTGCTTTTGGCCACCTCTTCTCTGTTGGCATGGCAATCTGTTGCAATTTGGCGCAATCCATTTTTGGTTGTATTTTCTTAGATATCTGCATACTTTTGCTTCCAGGGTCCACCAACGAAACAGCGGCAACTGGAACTTTGGTGTCATTTAAATCTTTATCATCCCTTTTCAGTTGTACAGTATTAAGTATATTAGATTTTGCTAGTGGCCTCATTGCATTCTGACTAATAGCCAATGGTGGTTTGCCATTGACTACAGTAGGAGGATAAACTGTTTCTTCTGACTTTGGAGGGGTAGAAGGGGGCTCCTGCTTCTGTGCCTTCAATGTTTCTTCTGCCTTCTCAAGATCACCCTCACAGGTGACCACAATTCTTTCAACCTCTTGCTTGGAGGTCTTGTACCTAATTTCCATGTCTGCAATACGAGCAAGCTCTTCCAATATGTCTATTTTCAAATTAGCCCCACAGTCAAGATTCCGTTCCCTCTGCTTGTCTTCTTCACCTCCTTCAAAAAGCCATGCAACTGATTCCTCTACTCTGCCTTCATTCAGAATAAGAGCCATTGTTGCCCTTTCCTGAGAGAAACCCATAGATACAAGTTGTTGTGAAAGAGCTTCTAGCTTCCTCGACATGAGATAGCCACTACATCGCTCATGTAGTTCTTGAGCTCGCCTCTCTTTTTGTCGCTGATGTTTTCTCTCGTTCTGTTGACGGATTTTTTCTCGTTTGTCATTGTCAGCTCCAGGCACCGACTCTTGACGCAGCGGATGATGAGATGGATTCTCTTTATGGTCTTCTGATTCACCAGACCAGCTACCATTATTGGAAACAGAATCATACTCAACGCCAGTCCCAAATGAGATCCCACTTTGATCATCTGTCTCGTCTATGTTTCCATAGCGACCATTCACATGAAGTGGACCAAATGAGGAAAGCGGTGCTGTATCAAATGTATGGAATGTTCCCAAAACAGGATTGTATCCACTTGCTGGAGCCCCAACAGTGACATTAGCATGACCAGAAGTCTTCAAAGAACCCTTCAGAGGTTCCTTAACAGACTTTCTGTCTTTGGACTTGGATCTGGATGCTGGAGACATATCCTCTGGTTGAGCTGCTAATAAATGCAACACCAGTGGCTAAGATATCCATTGGATACAAATAAATGCCAGCAAAAGTAAACCAAGCACAGATGTACTGATAGTAATACTTGTCTATTCCATTAACTTACTGTTATATACTACAGAAAACCCCATTATTAACGAAAATAGAAAAAAAAGATAAGAAACTGCAATATTTCCACAACTGCTACTGGAAGCATCTTTTATGGCAACAATGTCCATACCAAAACAAAGAACAAACAATGAGGTCATATTTTGCGTCTGATGATGAATATATTATATATGGGTCAGGTAGGGGGATAGAGAGGAAAATGACAGGATGAGGAAGTTGGTGGGGGTGGGGAACAGAGCAATCACACCAAATAAAAAATCAGTGTATGCAGTGATGCATAATTGAAATGCCTTTATTCGACCTTTTCGATTATAGTACTCCAGGCAAAAAACATGTCCTGGATACACACATGGACATATATCTCCAGAAAAAAAGATTATCTCTTTCATAATTTCTTCAAGTGGAACGAATTAATTCTAAGTGGCGTCCTATCCCATTTGATCAGGAGTGGGTGTATGTTGATGCCTATAAAGCAAAGTTTGGTAGATGACATTTGCTAGGAGACAAATTTAGAAATTTAAACCACCAAATTAACATTTGCAAAAGAATAGAACTCATTCATTGACAAGAATGGAGAATATTGCCATTTAAGTCTCAAATAACTAAGGCGCTTTCTACCAAAAAACGTCTCATTATCTATTCTTATGCCATCACTTTAAACACAAAAGAAGAAAACAGCCGATCTGGGAGGCCGGGATTGATCACAGAGGCAATAAGGAAAGGAAAAGTAATAGGACAGCAGATGACTTTCTTTTGAGGTAAATTTCATAATGACATGAAATAATATGAAAACAATTCTAAGCAGGACTTATAATGGAGCCCAAGACCTATAAATTATTGATTAAATGGATAATACCCGTAAATGCACTACTAAGAACCCAATAGATAAACATAATCGTATAAACCTAAGATGTCGTCGATTGCCAAAAAATGTCATAGCATCTCAATTACTTCCCAATTCATACCCATCTACAATGATCACAAAATCCATGACAAATTTTTTGATCTTCCACAGTCCTGTCAGGATTCCAAGAAACTTTTGTGCCCTAATAGTGCATACGTGAATAAAATCTTTTGTCATAATTAATAAAAAGTTCTCCATTACTGTGAAGTTTATGACCTATTAACCGGCTTTGATCTAATGCCCATGGTGGGCATGGGTTATAATGCCCACCTTGGACATGGCAACACAGGATGCTGCCACGCCCACAGTGGCCCACGGTGGGCATTAGATCATTTTTGGACCTATTAAATTCAACGGAATTTAATTATCTAGAAAAAGACAAAATCTATGTTTACCATAGATAACACAAAATCCACGTCATTTGTAATTTTCCCTCAGCAGATTCATTCACCAAAAATGACATATCATAATTAGGAAGACCAAAGTAAACATCTAATACATCTACCAGTTTGTTACCTCCTTCGTCTTATGGTCACCGATTCGCTTCTTTCAACTTTTAGCCTTGCGCTCCTTCCTCACTTCATTTAAAATCATTAACTATAAATCATTTTCCCAAGTACCAATTTCTTTCGTCTAAGTTCAATTATTTATTCACAAAACATTAATTCATTGTAATACTAACATCCAAACTCTTGACTCAAGAAAAAGAGAAAGAAAATGCCCTTCTTGATGCTGCTAATCTAAATTAAATTAATTCCACAGGAAATCCAGTCCCAATATTGGCAACATAAAATTCCTAAACTAAAATTCTCGGAATACAACACAACATTTCCATCTAAGTTAATATCTTTGCCCCAAGGAAAAAAGGGCTAGTATATTCACATAAAGGCACGTAACAGATTATCACACGAAATCAAAAGCACAAAAAAAATCCTGGTAAACGTCAAATTAGTATATTCATTTGTATAAACATCAAGTGGAAATCCACAGGCAGATCAAGAAACAGAAATGGCCATTCAAAATTCAACTAAACCAAGAAATCCACAGAAAGATTAATCAAGAATTAAAATTACAACAAATTAATGCCCATCTCAAACCTTAAATCCCCGAACCAAAAATAAACTTAAAAAGATAAATTTAAAAAATAGACATCCCTGACCACCAACAATAGATCAAACAGAAAAGGGATTAGAGTGGGGCCTTTCACCTGTAACAGATCGATCGATAGAGAAATCGCTCGGTGTTCAATTTAGGATTGAATTTTTGTTTTATGGAAATGGAGAATTGGATTTAGTTCTGGAGACGGATGAATATATGAGAGAGGGAAAGAGAAGGGGCATAGGGGAGAGAGTGATAGGTAATCAAGGCTAAAAATTGAAACATTTCGGTCAAATGGAATGGAAAAGTTCAACTATTGTCCCTCAATCTATTACACTGATAGTGACTTAAATCTCAAATCTTTGAAAAGGGCAAAATTGTTTTATTATAATCGTGTAAAAATAATGTTATTTACTATCGCAGTCGTCTTACGTGGCACGCATGTATGACTAGTGATTTTATATATTTGGAAAAGAAAAACTACCAAATTAATACATCAAATTACAAACCGCAATATAGAATGTCACGTAAGACGACTGTTGCAGTGAGCAACTATAAATAGCATTACTCATCGTATAATCAATCCCAAGCAAGAGACTACCAATTTTCTTCTAAATCGTCACGTACCTTTCAATTGTTTTAGTGAAAATAAGTTTTTCATTTCGAATGGCTCAACTTTTTTGAAGATATATTTTGCATCTCAAATATTGAGCCAGATATTGTTAAGTTTTTATTTATTCGTTACATGGTTTTCAAATGTTCAACTTTACATAGATGATTCTGCATCTCAAATCCTAGCAAGTGTTGAGTCTATTATTAATTCATCTCACGATTTTCAAATCTTCAACTTTATGAAGATAAGTTCAGCATCTCAAATCCTGAATTAGAGTGTGTTGGGTCTTTATTTAATTATTTTAAATGTCTTAACTTTATGAAGTTAAGCTTTACATCTCAACCTAGATATTTCAAGAAGTAATGAAAACATGAAAATCACATGACAATTTAAAGAATTTTTAATATGTTTTCATTTTTCTGAATATAGAATAAGATGGAAATATTTATGTTTAGTCGAATTATGTATTCTGAGATTCGATCTCTTCTCTTATAAAGTCAACACATGGCCCTCTAGATTCTCGCTATACTTCCACTAGGAAAGATGACTTGTATTTAAGATCACTCCAAGCTTTATTAAAAAAGGATTGTACTTTGGGACATATGATAGAAGGCCTAGGTTTAAGAGAATCTTTGAGCAACTATATATAAATGTTGAGTTCAATTTACTCCTTTTTAAAAGTTGAGGACCAATATGCTAACGAGACAATAAATTAAAGGAACGAATAAAACGACTTTTTCAATTGAAATTGTAATAGAGTAATTATATTCATAATAAAGACTACCGATGGTTGTCGTATGTGGTATATACATATCAATTTGTTATTTGATACATTAATATGGTAATTTTTTATTGTCTTATACATCAAATAACAAATTATCACGTGTATGCCACATAGGACAACTGTTAGTTTTCCTTACTATGAACAACATTATTCATTGTAATAGACAAGGATTATGTATTCTTTCTTTTCTTTTCTTTTTTTTTTTTTATATATAGCCCCACAACCATTATTTGAAAACCCATTTTTATTTTATTTTTACATAGTCATTTTCAATTACACAATCACACGATTACTATGCATGTAAATTCAAAAATTTTCTTACACTCTAACCACAGTTTCTTTAAAAAATCTTTGTTCAAAACATTGTTCTTTCCAAATGATGGTTGTCAAATAGGGGCTTAATTTTTACTATGGGAAATTGGATACTCAAGATTTTAACTTAAATCTCTATTAAAGGAAACTTTATGAATTCGAATCTTGGGGACACAATAGAAATATATGAGGGGTAAGATGGGCTAAACTCTGATAGAACGGATAGTACGTAAGTTAACGGTTTGGGCATAGAGATTAAATCGTTACAAAAATGTTTGCTCAAGAGAATTTATAATGAACAAAAATAGTGGATCTCGCGAATATGTGATAATTAACACACTAATAATGAATTAGCATTTGAAATAAATATTTAACTTTTTTGCACACAAGACTAAATTGGAAAGTGAAAGACTCGAATATTGAATTTTAGGTATAATCTCATGTTGCACAGAAAGTTTTTAATGTGTACATTATTGAAACTTTTGACTCTACATTTTAAATTTCATTTTTGGCTTGCAATTGTGTCATTATAGAAGAATTTCTCTCAGAGATGGAAACATATGTCATGTGATCGAAACAAAATAGTAAGTAATCACATTTTTAAGTAAAACGAAACTTTTCTATGACCCACGTTTCACATCATATTTTTAAAAATTATAATTATTAAGTCAGATTATTTAAGAAATGGAAAAAATTTACAGAACAATATTTTCATACAATGTGCAATAATTTAGGTATTATATAAGTTCTTATTTACGCGGTACCTTATTCGGAATAGTTGTAAGTTTTTATCATATGTATAAATATTTAATACTATATACATGGTGAGTCGTTTAAATTATTTTTCAGGGTAATTAGCATATAATGACTAATGTCTTCATCTTTCACTATTATTGTGAAAAACGTTCCTACATTTCATGTTTGATATTTCCATTTTTAATTATATATTTGATTGCGTAAAATGTCATTTTAATCCATTTTTATCCAATTTATCTGTTAAGTAAAGGGTATTCTTGTCGTTTCCCTCTTTCTCCCCATTTGGATCAATTTTCTCTTATATTTCTTCCTCTAAAAACCAACCTTTAGTTTCTTCACTAGAAATTTATGTTCCTTGGCCTGACGTAGATAATATTCTCTCTTTGCCTAATTGCTTCTGTTGGCCAAGAAATGGTGGGCTGCTTGGACAACGTTGAAAATTTGAACAATACTTACATACAGCATGGAAAGAATAAGGAAATCACTTTAAATCCAAAGGTGCAAAAAATAGTGAACTGTGTGTAAATCCTAGTGAAGAAAATTAGGGGACGTTTGTTTCTCATTTTTGTAAGAATGATAATAAAAAATATAGTCGTTATTGACCCCACACAAAAGATAAAAATTCAAATTTGGTGGCTTGATATAATGGATAACGATCATAAATTTCATTTTAATAGGGAAAGAATGAGAAACAAATAGAGGCTAAATGTTAGTTTTTAGAGGAAGAAATAGGGGAAAATGTGTTCAGACGGGGAAGGAAGAGGGAAAACTACTAGAATATGCTTTACCTAAAAAAGAAATTGTATGAAAAATAATATTTTGCACAATCAAAGATAATGCCAAAAAATGAAGGTATGGATGTTTTTTACAATAATATTGAAATGTAAGAACGTTATATGCTAATTACCCAATTTTTCATGAACACTTGTCAAAAATGCTATTTCTTAATACTTAATACTTCCAACAAATTGAAGGTTGGGCAAAACCCACGAGTTCAATTTTGTAAAGACTGTTCCAAAAATTTCAGGAAACAATTAATAAATATCTTTAAAAAGTTTACTAATTTCATTATTTTTTTAATTTATTTATTTAAAACTATCTATTCATTTTAATTGTCATCATGGTCGTCGACATCATACCACCCGTAACATAAAATGTTAACTTCACATCAATCCCAACATAACATTTAAAGTAACACAAATCGTCGTCACCCCTATGCGTAACAATTATTGTTACATTAGCATTGATTTTCGTAGCCCCACCACCACCACCACCACCTACATACTATATTCACACCACCTTCGCCACCCTTTTCCAACACCAAAATCACCGCCATTGTTATCACTTATTTCCACCATCACTGTCATCGATACCATCTCTGCCACTATGCTATCCAAATTTGCATCACACCTCCACTAAAAAAGCTCACCATCTCCGATCAAACTCCACCATGCCCGCCATCTCCAATCGCATCCTATCTCCACCATCACCATTTTTCATTTCCAGAAGCACCATCATCTCCAATTACAATTGCGTGCTTAATGTGAATTTAAACCAAATTAAACACTTTTTAAACAGAATCAAACTACAAAATAAAGTCATGTATCCATTAATTTAAAGTAATACCATATGATTAAAGAGTAATGTTATTTATACACAATGATATATAGATTGATTATGTGAAAGAGTGAGAAAAAGAAAAATAAGAGAGAATGAAATGAAATAAAGTCTCTTAATCCTATCTAGAAGGCATCAGTGAATCATAAAAACTTTCACGCTCATATAGCGATAAACTACCCTAATTTCTAAACATAGTTCAGTAAATGAATGATCGAGTAGGTGGCTGATGGAAAGAATAAACACTTGACGGCTGACATCATCAATATGTAAATCGATTTGTTCATTGTTATATGATGGTTTTAGGTGGAGATTAAAATTAGATTTTTTTAGTAGATTGTGGTAGAAGTTTTTGAAATATATGAAAAGTTGGGTGATTTATGAAAGATATGGTTAATATTGATTGTTTGATTTTAACTTAGATTAAAATCAAATTTTAATCCGTACCAAACGGGCTCTATACAAATATCGTTACTCATGGTTAAACTCTTTTTTATTGTCTATCTAACACACAACAGAGGGCCCAAAATTAAAAAGAAAAGGGTTAAAAAATAAAAAAAAAAACATTACATTTAAATCCGGGTAATAAAGAGGTGTTTGAACCACATTATTTTGATGATAATACATTCTTGAATAGTGTATTGATGAGAAATGTACGATTAAAAAATAAGTAAAAATTTTTAATTTACGTGTAATATTATTTTATTAAAAAATATATGATTAAAATGATATCAAATTATTATTTAATAATACATTTTTTTGAAGTAACGTGACTCAAACAATCATAAGTCAATGTTGGCCTTGGACTCTGTGAAAGTATTTATCCACCAAAAGCGAATCTGCCAAATCTTTATCCATTTCTTTTTATTTTCCTTCTGAAATAAAAATCCGCAACGAAATTCAAATTTTTGTGGGCAAATTGTGGAATTTTCCCCATTATATACATATATTTATATGTATTTATACTCATATTAGGGTTTGTATAAGCTAGGTTTTGTATGATTGAAGAAGTTGATAGCTTGTCGCCATGAGGAAGAAGCTCGCCACCCGCTTTCCTGCTGTAAATCAATCTTCTCCCACTCTTTTTTGCTCTTTCTATATGTATTTGTATATATTTACGCATATATAGGCTTATGTATATGTCATGTGATTTTGTTTTTTCTAATATTGCGTGGTTGTGTTGTGTTTCGACCTTTTGATGTTTAATTAGACAATCATATATCCCAAAATTTTCTAAATAATAGTCGGTTTTTTTTTTTTTTTTTTTAAATATCGAGGAATGTGATATTTTTTTCTAACTTTTTTTGAAACAAATTTATCATAAAAATGCCTAAGTGGAAGATGAATTGAGTGTTGGAGTGCTTTTTTTTGTTACTGGGTTGTCATTGCCTTAAAATTTTGGATTTCTGTGGGCTGGCTCTGTTCGTCGATTTAGTGAGATATAGGTTTTGAGACTCCAGTGTGTGCTTTTTGTGGAGTTGGTATGAATCTTCAGATGAATGGAGAAAATGTAAAAAGAGAATAAATGGATCTGCAGCTGGTTAGATAGCTTGACCAGCATAATAGAATGTATTATTTATGAAGCGAGATTCTCGAAAATTCATTGTCATTAACCAGTCTTCAAATTTGATAATCTGAGCCAAATGTGCCCTCATTATGTTTCTCATGAATTATTTCATTATTTTATTCGTTTGTCAATTATTAGCTCTGTGTCAAATTTGAAATATACTATGTTACTGTCATAAAGTTTTGACATGTATTTACAAATAACCTGTAAAATGAGCAGCAATATTGTATTTCCAAAGGCTAAGGAGATCAAGCTCTTCTTCCATCTACACATGCCTTTATTTTAGCTTTTGGGGCACAAGAGTTTGTTATTGATTGTTGTTTATTATAGCAGTATTGCTTTTAACAAACAAGGTCCAAGATCAATATATATTATAGAATTTATAAGGATCAATATTTATTATAGAATTTAACTCATAATATTGAAAATTTTGACTCATCTGTTTTCCCATTACGGTCCGTATTTGTTGAGAAATTTGAATATTTTATAATGCTTAGATGAATAGTCTTCTCTTGTTATTTCATTGCAGTCTCGAATCAAGAAGATTATGCAAGCTGATGAGGATGTCGGGAAGATTGCGATGGCTGTACCGGTTTTAGTTTGTATGTCGTTCCTGTGGTCCAGCTCTTCTCTCTCTCTTTCTTCAAATTTTTTATTCCATTGTTCTCGTTATAGCCTTCTTTTTTATTTCTCTTGTCATGGTCAATAACTTGTCTTGCTTAATGGCTTGATGTCAACGAGATCTTTATGCGTTTATTCATATGCAGCTAAAGCTTTGGAACTATTTTTGCAAGATCTTTGTGACAGGACTTATGAGATTACTCTAAAAAGGGGAGCAAAAACTGTGAATTCTTTGCATTTGTAAGTTCTTTTGAATCTTTGTGTTGTTTATTTGGTCTGAATGTTATATTGTCTATTTATTCAAACATTGACTTTGTCCAAGGGCTACACTTTTGATCATCTACTTTTTCATTCCTTTCATTCCCAGGAAGCAATGTGTACAGAGCTTTAACGTGTTTGATTTCCTGAAGGACACTGTAAGTAGGGTTCCTGATTTAGGCTGTTCAGAAGCTTCTGCTGATGATAGATCTGCTACCAAAAAAAGGTATGGAACTTCATATGATTCTTGTTTTATTTTTTGGGTAAAATTTTAGACGTGGAAATTAACAGCATTAAAACTTTTTCCATGCAGGAGGGTCTCAGAAGACGAAGACAATGGCACTGATGGTGAGTCTAAACGAATCCACATGGTAAGCTAATTTCTATGACATTCTATATTTAACTACAACATCTAATTGAATATCATTTTAGCTTTTCTTTACAACTTTTTGAAAAAACTAAGTAATTTGAGTGACAGAAAAACCATGAACTCGGGTTTGCTTCTACCATATTAGACACATTTATTTATCCTCCTATGCTAATTTTTCATCAGGGTTTGCATTGAGAAGTTGAAAGAATATCCGAAGACGTCAGTTTGTAATTACTTTGTGCATACTGTCAATATTAACCAATAATCTTCACTTCAAACCTGAGTTCGAACAAATGTCATCTCAAACTGATATAAAATGCAATTACTATTAGAATTTCCCAAATAGAGATGGTATTCTTAATGTTCTTAGATGTTATGAGTTAAGATTTTGATAGTATCGGCTGTTACTGATTTTAAGAAAAAGATAATAACGCATCATACTGATTTTTTCCTGTAGAAATTAATATTAGGGTTGGTCATTTTTATTGAAAGAGTAAAATTTTTTATTCTTACAGTAAAATTTTTTATTCTTATCCAAAATTCCTTCACAGGATAAAGGAGGTGTAGAAAAGTTGATATGGACTTATGATTAATGGAGGTTTCTTTGTTTGCAGCCTGAGACTGGCCACATCAGCACTGGTGGGAGAGTTAGGGGAAGAGGTAGGGGTCGGGGTCGGGGTCGAGGTCGTGGTAGGAACAAAGGTAGTCACACTCAAGAGAGAGAATTGAATACTCAGTATGAGAAATTTGAAGACTATCCAGATGTTTCTCCCCAGAATGATGAGAAGCAAAATGAAAATTTTGAAAAGCCAGACAATTTTGCAGGTCCTGCAGATTTTAGCAATATGGGTGGGAAGGAGGCAGATATGTCAGTCAGAAATTTCGATCTTAATGTGGACTTACATGAGAATGGGAATTCCACACCAGTAATGGCTGGAGGCACTTCTAACTTGAGTACAAATGCAGCTCTTGAAATGAAGCATGAAGAAATTCCTGGTTGGTCCCTCAATGATGTGGAAGGGATGACGATCGATCCTACTCAACTTGCCAATATCAATAGGAGGATGGATGTGGAAGAAGAAGAAGATTATGATGAAGAAGAATAATAGAACGGGATCCTGCCATTTTGTGAAGTAGTAAGCAATCGTATCTCATACAGGTCTGCGCCATGCAGCAGATGTTTATATATGTTGTTAACTAGCTGGTAGCAGATTAGAGACCGTAGGAGACAACAAAGGAAAACAAAATTAGTTTGGGACAAGATGCGGAGTTTCCTTGTCAGCTCATTTAGGATTTTGTACTATATGATTCTGTATGGCTAACCGAGAGCAAGACCAATAAATACTTCAATTCTCGCCTGGAATTTGGGAAAAGAATGATTTTCTCTTATCATCTCGTCTTATCTTACTATTGTTTTCTGCCCATCCACGTATGAAATTCTATCGGTTGAATTTGCGGCTGCTTCATTATCCCCCAGTGGCTGCTGGTGGAGCTGCCTTTCCTTAACTTTTGTGTTGTTTATTCTTTCGGCAACTCATTTTTTGTTTTGGCTAACAAAGAAACTTGGCTGGTCTGTTTTTATGCAGTATCCGGAAAGAGAGGATACCATCATCTATTTCCTGCTTTCACCTTTGATTGCAGGATCTAGGCCGTGTCCTAATTTCGCCCTTGTTTGGTAGGGATTAAAATAAGATATTTAGTGGATTTTCAAAAATGTTGATGAAACATGTTATTGAAAAGTTACATGTTTCATAAATGTGGTTTAAATTAGTTATTGATTTTGGATTAGATTAAAATTTTAATTTTTAATTTCGACCAAATAGGGGCTTCATATGTTGCAACATGAGCTGAACGGTATATGAGAGACATTTGACCTCAATTCTAGGTCATTCTGCACGCAGATAATATCATTGATATGGTTGCAGCTGCTTAGTATTTTGTGGATTAGGTTGAAATATATGATAAATTTCCATATTCAATAGGAAGGATTGGTGAATGATTTCTTCATTATCGCTCGTGTAAAGATCTGCTGTTGGAGCCTAGCTGTTTTGAGGTCTTAAAAGATTATGTGAAAACGGGAATAACAAACTTTGACAACTTTTCTGCCCTGAAGCTAATTAAAATCATTACAACCATGTTTGATGATTTGACAACTTCTTAAACAAAATGTCACATTGTATTCTGTCATTGTACAGTTAAAGCCCGTCTGGCAACAATTTCTTTGGATTAAAAGCCATTTTTTTTACCCTAGGCAGGACAGCAAATGGGTCCCAGTGTGAGAAGAAAGTCAAAACAAATTGGGGAAAACGGGCCAACAACGTTCAAAAATTCATTTTTATCTTGCTCAAAATTTCTCCCAGACAAGAACAAAAAAAGCAGTTTTTTGATCCAATAAAGTTTTGCCAACACACTATTCTGTCAGCAGGGTGATAACAAGTGATGTACAAATAGCAAAATCCTTTTGCCGACATAATATGCATGCAATAATGGTGTTTAATAATCAAGATTCAAAATCCGGAACAAGATGAGAATAGTCATTTCCAATAAATTACTCTCCCAGTGTCTCGGTTCCATTCTTGCCAAAACAGTTATAGAACTGTATAATTTATTTTAACAAACCACCACATTATTTACTGATCAGCAACGGAAACTAAGCATCACCAACATGCTTAAACTCTTGTACTTCCTTGAAGTTCATCCATGGCTTCACCCACACTTTGGCTTCATATACTTTATTCTTGCCACCATCTGAAGCCTCCAGGGTTATATGGTACATTGTTCCAGCCACCACCTGCTGCTTCACATTCGCCACCTTCTTAAATTCCAAAAGGGCATTCTGAAATCAAATAAACACCAGAAAAACAAAACTTAAATCAAATCAGTAATGAAAATTGAATCTAACTTTCTAAACAGTTTAAATATGCATACCGATAAGGACAACCTGTTGTTGAATCAGCCTAGCACCAGGGCGGATGATTGGGATAGTAAGAATGGACAAGATTCTATTTCTGCTCACTTATATTACATATAAGGAATGAAGGTATGCTACATGATATTAATTCATCATTTTAAGTTTTGCTTCCATCTCTGCAATGAAGGTAGTACCTTAAATTCGCAATTTCTGTACTGTTCTCACAAAAACCTCCCTTTCTCTGAGGTTTTGAATTATCTACTCTCTTAAGTACAGGTTTGCCAATCACCCCACCCCACCTAGGTACATGTGGCATTCGAATATTTTTATTTATTTATTTATTTTTAATTTTTTTCAGAAAATTGCTACACCATATCACACATGACACACATAGCACTTTGGGATCCATACGAATGTAAGATGGCGTGACAGTCACCAGAGAGTGTCCTGAAGGCAATATATGGCACTTTGATTTCAGAATGCCCTTTTGGAATTTAAGAAAGTGGCAAATGTGAAGCAGCGGGTGGTGGCTGGAACAATGTACCATATAACCCTGGAGGCTTCAGATGGTGGCAAGAATAAAGTATGTGAAGCCAAATTGTGGGTGAAGCCATGGATGAACTTCAAGGAAGTACAAGAGTTTAAGCATGTCGGTGATTCTTAGTTTCCATCTCAGTAAATAATGAGGTGGTTTGTTAAAATAAATTATACAGTTCTATAACTGTACTGGCAAGAATGGAACCGAGACATTGAGAGAGTAATTTACTGGAAATGACTATTCTCATCTTGTTCCGGATTTTGAATCTTGATTATTAAACACCATTATTGTATGCATATTGTGTCGGGCGAGTGTGCTTTGCTACATGTACAAGAAGTTTGACAGATACTTTGACAGATGAAAAAAACTGTGCATGTAGCAAAATCTCATAGTGAAGAGGATGACACCTTGGCACTTACAAACCGAAACAAGCCTCCTGGCCAAGGATCCAGGCCACAGCATGCTACTCTGTATCCCTGATGCTCAGCATCAGAAGACAAATGCTAAACAGGCACAGTAGCTCACACCTGAACTAGTTATGGCACATCTCGAGGTCCAGGGATGTGATAGGCTAGGCTACCAGCTCCAGGAATAGCCACTCTTCTATTTCAGATGCATAATCTCTAACGTAACCTGATTACTCCATTCTATTGTAAGGTTACATTCCACACAATCCACAGAAAAGTTACACATTTAAAATCCCACTAATTAACTTTGTAGAATTCATGTCCTTCCACAATAAACACGATGATTTAAGAATCAAAGTGCATCTAGCTACCTATTTGGGTGGCACACTGTCAAATCTCACATGTTCTGGTGAAGTTTTAGGTTCACGAAGATGGCATGGGGCACCTAAAGACCATTAAAGTGAACAAAAACAATACAATAAACAGTAAATTTCTGAATTGCAATCTTTCTAATTTCCAAACACTTCATCTGACATCTCGTATTCTTTTTCTTTTCCTTTAGAGCCTTCACAAAATACCATTGCAGTAAAATAATTATCACAGAATAGGCTTCAAAGTTAAATTACTCAAAACATGATATAATATTCTTCAAACGCATAAAAAAAAATTCATAAATACCCAAAAAGAATACTAAAAAAATTCTGAACTGCCCGCAAAACATATAATCTTCTAATCCCTCACAGGGATTTTATAAAAGCCAAAATAAAAAACAAACAAGAGAGAGAGAAACCTGTTTTGTGTTGTGTTCATTGACGGCAAATCGCGCAAGATCATCGATCTCAAGGCTGTTCTGTGATCCTCCACTCGGACGAATCATGTTATTCAAGAAATGTTTTAAAGAGGAAATTTTTTGTGTGAATTGGTGAAGGTAATGTAGATATTTACTTTTTGGGGCGCGGGGGAGGGGGGGTGATATTCACCGTTGGTCCAATCTATTGGATGAGTGGAAAATAGGTTCCATCTCTTAAAAGTAGTAACTTAGTTCTTGACATTATTTAGTTTTATAAAGTTGGACACATGTAAAATCATATGAAGATTGAGTATATTTGAACAGTTCTTCTCCCAAGAATCCTAATTTGTTATCGAGCGTGAATATAATGAGGACCAGGGGCACTAGACTGGTAGTAGATGTTACAATCTAAGACACTGATGCAAGGTCTTATTGATAAAGATGTTATGAAGTTTGGACCATATGAAGAGAAGTTGAGTGCAGTGTGTAATTCGCTTTCCTCACATAAGAATGATAATGCTGATTCATTTAGTAATGCAGTCAATAACCAGAAGGTTATGTATGATTCATCACAACTCATCGAGACTCGTGGAGTTCTAGTTCAAGAAGAAAAAGCTTCAACCAAGATAGTCATTGTAGCTTACAACAAGCAATGACAGACAATTGTAGAGGGTTAATTTCTTTATTCTTAGAAGTTAAGGGTGAATATGCAACTCAAGAAGTAGAATGGGTACCAATAGAGGAATTTTCTCTTTATAGAGGATCGGTTGAACGAAAGAGTCGAAAATCTGCGTCCCAATCATGGATGAAATGAATCACATCCGTTGATTTTTTGACTTCACAATCAAGAAGAATTGATTCGGGCCTAGGCTAATGGCCCATTGTTTTTGCTTTTACAGGGAACATTTAGGTTTGGATCCGTTTCTCATATTCCAATTAACTTTAACTTTAATGGTTGTGAAAGAAGATGGGCCGACTCGATTCAGTTTCACCATAACAAAAGTTCACTTTTTTGACAAATTTCATAGAGAATTGGACGGTTAGATTTAGATCCCAATAAAATTAGTCTGGCTCGACTTTCGTCTATTATAGTCTGAATACGATTTACAATAGAAATCTAATTTTTATCTATTCAATCAAGCACGATCATGTCTAGCCTACATTATAATTATTAATTGAAAGGACCGCAAAATGGATTCAAATTTTTTTATTAGGGCAGTGGGAGCAGAATATAAGAGCCTTGCTTCTTGCATAGAGAGAAAGTTTGCAGAAGGCTTACAGAATAAACACAATGCGGAGAGGGGGTGGGTGAGATTTTTTTGACAATAATTTATTCATATGGGGTCCACTTTCATGTAAATATCTGTAATGATTATGTACAAATGGAAAATTCCCTGAATATATAGAGACACGACCAACGAGGTGAAGAAAAAGAGAAAATAAAGAAAGGAAAAGTTAAATCTCATTTTTTTAGGTTTATATATCTTAAATAATTTGCTAGTAATGGTGGACATTAAATCAAGGAGTGATTCTTCAACCAATCTAATGAACGAAACATGTCATGACAAATTGAGCATGGTAAATAAGGCCTTGGGAACAAAATAATAAAATTACGAGAATTAACATAAACAAGTTCTTAAATTTTGGAAGCATCATATTATAATGGCTGTTTGACCGCTTGAACGATATAATTTGTCCTAAATCACGAAGGCGTTCAACGAGATCCATTGAGATATCGATTTCTACTTAAATAAGATGTGTCATTCATCCAAATCCTACTCCATCGATCATTTTTACTCAGTTGAACACCCGTCCAAATCCTTGAAATTATTAATCACTCAGCAATTATGGAAATATTGTGGGATCTTTCAATACTTGGGACTCTCAATACTTTCCCTTTTTCAGTTTCCTTCTGCTTCAAAACATCATTCTTGAACTTTGCCATGGAAGCTAGTTCATGAACAGAATCAGCAATTTTCACTGTGCTGGAGACAATTTCTATCAGTAAAGAAGAAACTGAGGCAGCAGGGATTATTTCAAGAAAATCTGTCCCCTCCCGCATGTCTGATTTCAGCAGTAACTTCAGTTTCTTGGCTGCAGTTTTTGCATTGACAATATGAGGATCAGCAATGGATGAAGAACTCATTGTCTTAATTGATAATGCTAATTCTTTCAAAGCAAGACTGGATTCTGAACTCATCTTTGTGCATGATTCTTGAATTTTGTCTCTGACTTCTGCTGGTGTCTGCAGAAATAGCACAAAATTTTCGGGTGAATTTTCTCTCCCGCGAGAGACAAGTTAAGGATTGAATCCTAATTTCTAGTCGTTAGCATTATGAATAACAAAGAAAACAGGCAAAATAAATGAAGAGCAGCACCTCCCATTAATTACGAGAGTTAAGTTCATTTTGCCGTTGTAACGAATAATAAGAGTACAAGGTGATCTTGCACTTTCAGACGATAACAAATTCTAAGTAAAACAAAATATACAATGTAACTATAACGATCTACCTTTGAGTAGATAGAGCAATGAATTGAACGGAGTACTAAAAAAGATTCTAATTTACCTTCATTTCCGAGTTAAGATAGCCGTTCAAAGCATCAATGCGATAAGCACATTCTCGCACAAGTACCCCAATTTTTAAGTATTGATCCCAAGGGTGCCGGTATCGGAAGCGACCATGTCTGGGCTCCCATTTTGCAAAATTTGCCTGCAGAAAAAATTGCAATAAAATTGAAATAATTTAGTAAAATTCAATGTTAAAGTTGAAAGTCTGTGTTTCGTGAAGAGAAATTTTTATAACTCACCAAATATTCTTCGGTGCCTTTTGAATTAAGAACACTTTTGTATTCATCAACAGATGCTTTGTCATCTAGGAGTTTGCCATCTGATGTTTGGAAATATTCATGTCCAAAACCTGATCAGAAGTTTTAGGTTAGGCTCAAAGGAAAGGACAAAGAAATCAAGTGTTTGTTTGGATTTCATTGTAAGTTACTGAAATTATAATGTGATAGAAATGAGTGATGGATAAATAAGTAAATTTTCTTCTACATTATTTTGTACAAATGACAATATTGTCCAATATTGCATAGTAAAAAAAATCCTATGTAGCGTGAAATTTACCTTCGAGGAAGATCCCCAGATTTTCGATGTTGCCTGCAATGAGATTATGAAGATCTTCACCAGCCCATATAGGGCATATGAAACTGCAAACCACCACAGCAGCCGAGCCACCGATGAGGATTGTGGACAACCTTTTATGTGCCATTTTCAAAACCTCGTCGTCCCGGTAGCCAGAGACGGATATTAAACAGAATGTCAAGATAAATATCAGAAGTCCATAGTCAAATCTTGCCTTCAATTTAGGATGAAATCTGATAAAAGTTACTGAAGAAACTGCACCATTTGGATTTAAAACAATAATTAATTTGATGATGGTCTAAATACATAAAAACTGGATGTTTCTTATATGTGCTAGGTACATTAATCTATCAACTTTTAGCAACAAAAATAAGATAATAGTCTTATTTGCAGTATCCTAAACCAATGCTGTTTATCAAACATGCTTCCAGTGGATATGTTTTTTTCTTACCTACTAAGAAAACAGAAAATCCAAGAAATACAGGCTCTAATTTCTCCCCAAGAATATTGGCTAACCGATGTGCTCCAACGCCTAGTGAGCCCGCTAACAATGTTGCAATAGCTCTATTTACGCCTCTTCCAAGCGTCGCCCCTGCAAAATAAAGGATTAATTCTATAAGTTTAAACTATTAAAGAATTTCCAGGAAACCATGTTTGGCATGTGCTTTATACTAAGTTATTTTTCTAGAAGGCAACTTAAACTTGCCTTCTGAAAGGAAAAAAAAATGTTTTGTTGGGCGAAATAAGTAACTTAGTTAGCACAACGTGAACTTACCTACAGAGAATTCAAAGACGACGACCACAGTGATCACTGCCCACATTGCAGAAACGCCAAAACCTTGGTACAAAGTGTCAAAGTAATAGAACAGTGAAACCAAAGTTATGGCCAATCCTACTTTCAATGAGTGAATAATTCTTCTTGGATCTTCAACTCCAAGTTTCTTCCCCTCACTGGCTGCAACAGTTATTTTCGCCACAAATTTCTCCATCATGGCCTTAAACCACGCACGACTCGAGCCTCGTTCAGTTTCTTGATCCGAGAGAAAACCAGCAATCCTAGTCCCTTAAAATTCCCTGCCTCGTTGGGACAGGGTGGAAGGAGGAGAGATTGATTTCCGACTGCGGAATAAGATTCAATCAATTATGCCAAGATTTTTCTATATTTATGAGTGAGATACCTCAGCTGGGAAGTGGGAACTGAGAAATTAGTTTCCTGTAAAATTATGTTACGTGGATGTTGATGATTCATGCAGCTCATATTCAAATTTTTTTATGCTGTATTCTTGAAAGTGATTGTGATACCTAATTCTTGACTAAAAAAGTATAAAAAGTTAACAAAAGAAATGTGTAGCGTACAGTTGTCATCTGAACTATATTATTAATGCTTTAGGGAACTAATGATGCCATGAAATTAAGCTCCGTTTGGTCCCATTATTCCCTAATAAATTATAATTCATTTTTTTTTCTCTATTCTTGTCAATTACACATTTTTTAATAAAATAATATTACACGCAAATCCAAAATTTTTTCTTTATTTTTCGACTACACATTCTTCAAAAAATTACTATTCTTCTCATTATAATGGGGAATAATGGAGGCCAAACAGGTGCTAAAGCTATTGAGATGTACAAGTTTGGGTGGCCAAATAAATGAAAAGTATTGTTTAACAAGCGGCAAGCGCAATGTGGGTCGGCATGTCTAAACAATGGAGGGTGTCAAGCAAGATTGTAGCGACCTGAATCCCTATGTATAATCTATTGAAGTTTATCAACTAACATCGGGATTAGAGATTTTTAGGTGAATTCTGCCAAAGACAGCGTGAGTAAAATCTTATCGTCACATATTAATCTTAGAGCTTTAGAATAGATTGAAAAGGTTTGATTAACACTTTTAGGCATAGTAATCGAAAAAAATGCTTCAAAAACATTAAAAATAAACACAAAAAATCGAATGTTTAGTAAATAGGACCATCTTTAAACTAGTGTCAAGTCTATGAGCGTGTAAAAGACAACATGATCACTTTCATTGCTTTTAATTATAGTCGACAAATGTTTACTATGAAAGATTATTGACAATTGGATTTGAACTTAAGGTAGGAAATTTTCCTTCTGTGTGGACCGTACACGTCTTGTTCTGCAATTTATATCTTTAAATTCTTTAAGCTCTGTTCTCAACGGATTTGTCTTGTTATTAGGAAAAGATTAGCAAAAGATAATCATTGTTTAACAGTAAATCATTGTATTGCATATTTGTTTTAAGTGCATAATGTTAGCCTAATTAGAATAGGTGGACTGGCATAGAATTTTTTACTCAATTTAGTCAACTTTAGTTGATAGGGATTGAATTAGACAAGAAAAGGACAGTACATTCTTACCAACTCTCGATTGGGTTATTCATTGAAAATGAATTCTCGATAAGTAGTGATGGCGTGGCGGTGGAGATGGTGCTAGGGTTGGAAAGAGATAAAAAGAGAGGTGATGGTGGGAGGCGGTAGTGGTGGTGAAAAGGAGGTTGTGGGGCACAGCGGTTGCAGCGATGGCTGACGGAAAGGTTGGGCTAGGTGAAATAAAGAAGTGGGGTTTGGCTTGAGGGAATGTTAATCGCCAATTCGCTTCCATCAATACTTTTATTCAGCTTGTGAGATACGAAAAGTGTTAATTTGCCACTATAATCATAAACGAGATTAATATGGAACAAATGTCAATCATGGAGAGTACATATCCCGACCCAAAATTTGTGCATCAATTGGATTGATTGCTACAAATCTTTCATCCATGTTGTTACGTGTTGAAACACTTGGCCGATCCATTGGGGCCCATGGTCCACTTCTGCTGAACCACATGGCATCTTATCCGAGGCTTCCAGGCCAACAGGTGTAGACCAGTATACTATAACAACACCTATGACGTGGCCCAAGTGTTGACGCCGAAGTGAATATGTCAAGGTGGTCTCCTAGCCGAGGCCCATACCGAAGTCATGAGGCCCTAAGTAGCACCCCCTAGAGATCCAGTCTTATGCAAGGATCCTTCCTGATTGATTGATTGGACACCCATCATAGAGTGCAAGTGTCTTGTCTTGTCAATGCCGCTGATTAATAAAAGTGTAACAGGCTAGGAAGTCAAGTGTGATGCCTATAATTTGACATGTAAACTAACGAGATGAGGCCACGTGTACTCCCAACCAAAGGCCACGATCTAAGTTGTAATACTATAAATGCTCTCTCATGCATCTCTTACAAGGGGAATGTAAGATTCAACACAAGAACAAATACACATTCTTTACATTTTACTCTCTTGCAACATACATGAATTCATACTCCCATTTTACAAAGATCGATTAGTAATTATTGCACAATCGTTATGCAAACATCTCGTCGAATTCTGAACGTTCTCGTCCCGCGCCTTTGAGTTGCTCCCAGGCCGCCTTTTGCTATTATTTTTAGACCGTCCACGTGTCTTAGCTGTTGGACCAGGCTTACATGTGCGCGGGTGGGTCCAGTATCTGTTGACAACATATTCCGGGGTCAACAGATTGGAGCCGTCCGTGGAAATCCATACTACAATCACGAGCAACCGTGTAGAGAAAGCTTATCGAAAAAAATATTTGGGCATCCCTCCTGAGAAATGATTTGTTCTTGAAAAAGAACAAGTGGAAGCCCTATAACTTAGCAACAATTTGAAGTTGGAACAAAAGAGAATGAATTCAGATGAGGATGTACCCCCTACAAGGGTAAGAGAAAATGTTGGAATGCTTCCACCGCAGCTCTGCATCGACCTTACCACCACTATAGAAGAGGTGGCATACGGATGGTCGCTTAGTTGTCGAGAGAGATGGCCATCATGACCTCAAACATAAGGGACATTACTAACCAAAACATGGCCACGAGAGAACTCATGGCCCAAATGAAGAGTTAGGGAGGCTTCCCTTTCCTCCCTGTGCACCCCAAGGACATTACGACCAAGATGAGAAAGTCCAAAGCCAAAGGGCTATATCACCAGAATACAGTCGAAGCAGAAGCCCCATGAAGAGGGCTGTAGAAGTTGATGTTTCCTCCAATTATGTTGCAGGCCGACCCATCGAGATTCGGTATAATCAGGACAATTTTCCACCAGCATATAAGTTAGAACAAAGACCTAGGAGGTCTAACAGTGTCTTTGACAAAATTAGCCCCGTGGAACAAAGGCACAGGCAACATCAACGACTTCAATGCGAGCCTCAGAATAGACCACAGCCCCCACCTCCTATGACTCATCAGCAGGAAAAAAGGCACGAAAATGCCTCCCGTGCTGCTCCGCCTAGAAATAGGCCCCAAAGGAGGGAAGAAGAGGCTAGGACCCAAGCTGGACCCTCTCATCAGCCACCCAAGTATGAAGCCGAAGAAAAACAATGACTCAAATGAGCAGCAGAGGTCATGTGACTTGGACGACGACGATGAAAATCTTCCATTTTCAAGGAAACTAAGGGATGCCCAGGTTTCGAGCCACTATGTGATGCCTAAAATACCAAAGTATGACGGGAAAGGCGACCCGAAGAAACACCTAAGTGCTTATAAAACTAATATGAGCCTTAGAGGCGCCACCCTAGCTGTGAAGTGTAGAGTTTTTCATTTGACACTTAGTGGAGTGGCTGAAATCTGGTATAGTCGACCACTGCCTGGCAGCATAAGGAGTTGGCCATAATTCAAGAACACTTTCCTAAAAAGGTTTGCAGTGAGCAAAGAGGAAAAGTCCCCATCCAACGTCTTCAAGACATGAGGCAGGCGCATGAGGAATCCCTAAAAAGCTTTTTGTCATGCTTTACTGACGAAATGACGTACTACATGCAAGTCACCGATCGTGAGGCTTTATCAGCCCTAAGATGAGGTCTGAATATAAACATCCTGTTTTGGAAGGATGTGCAAAACCAAGATCCCACCACCTATGACGCCCTGTTGGAAATGATGAGGCGGGAGATTATTAATGAGGAGCTAATTGAACACAGGAATTGAGTTAGCAGAGGCCTCCCACCTCAACAGAGACAGCGCGCTAGGAGACCGAGCTCCCATTTGATGGACTACTAGATGAACCCGCCTGGTAATGGGAATTCAGGGCAAGCACTTGCCACAACCACTTTGAACACAATACCAACTTTGGTATATGAAGATGTCAATCCAACTACCACTAACCTGCAAGCATGAACTTCACAACGGGTTCCCCGTGAAGAAAGAGGTCGGGGGCGCTGTTCAGGGCCTAGGAATAGGCCTAATCAGAACCCCCTGATTATTGTACATACCACCACTCCTATGGTCATGACACATCTGAGTGTCTGGAGTATGCATACCGCAACCGACGAGAACACCCTCAAGACAGGAGGAATGAATCGCCACAGGCGAACAGGCCCCTGCCTAGGAACGACCGACGACCTAGGCGTGAGGAGGCTGCACCCCACCAGCGAGATGTATCCCTCCACCGAAGAGAACATGACGTTGGAAGACCCAAGGAAAGACACAAGCATCATGGAAATCGCCATGCACAAGAAGAGGCCCCTATTCACGAGATAGATACCATATTTGGAGGCCCCTACATGGGAGGTGAGACCTGGAATGCAAAATGAAACTACGCCCAAGAAGCTAAACGCCTCTTAATAACCAGTTATATCGTGGACAGTAGCTCCCGAAGAAACCAAGTACCATCCATTGTCTTCACCCAAGAGGACTCCGAAGGGGTTCACTACCCCCATTGTGATGCACTTGTTGTAAGTGCCGTTGTGGCTCGAAACGGGCTCAAGCAAATGCTAGTAGACAATGGCAGCTCCGTTAACATCCTGTTTGGGTCCACCTTTGGTAAGATGATCCTGGACCACGAGCTGACATAACTACCACTCCTCTATACGGATTTATCAGAGATAGTATCACTCCAAGAGGAAAAAATAACATTGGCAGTAGAGATGGAAGAGTCCCCCCCAAACCACCATGAACTTCACGGAATTACTTATTGTAGATAGTCGGTCAACTTACCATGGAGTCTTAGGCAGACCAGCTCTGGAGGAGTTAGGAGCCGTCACCTCCATCTACCACTTATGCATGAAACTCCCAATCAAGAACGGGGTGATAACAGTGAGAGGTGACCAAAGAAAGTCCAGAGAATGCTACATGAGCTCCATCAGAAAGGTTGAGCCCCGAGACGTACATTTTATCCTGACCGATGTAGATATGGCATA